TAATAGTTGTATGACAGTATTCTTTAATATTTCTGCACTTTATATATAAGCCACAAGCTGGTCATTTCTATGACTTGTGATTTAACATAAAATTTTGTTGTGTACTCTTTCTAATCATAGAAAGCTTTCAGTTTGAGGATTCTTAACTTGTGGATGACAAGCTTCCCTACCATTACATTTTTTTTTTGGAAAGGTTTTTTCTATAGAGCACATGCACTTGCCAGAAAGACAGAGACAGAGAGACAGAAAGCAAGAAGTCACCCCCCAAGAGGGGATGGGCACGCTACAATTCTTTCTCCTCCATTCTCCTCTCGGGATCTTGGGAACGCACCCACACATGCCTAGAGTGAGTTTAAGCCATTAAACTCACATGGGAGTCTAGTTACACAGCCACTACACCAACACCAGGTCCCCCATTACTCTTAATTACAAGTTATTGTATCAATTTTGTTCTTGTTTTTAATCTTTGGTTTGAAGTTTTAAATTAGAAACCTGGTACATAAACGCTGGATCTTATTAGGGCATAAGAAAACTATGCCACAGGAATTCATGCTAACTCTAGTTCTCTAAGTGCTATGGAACAGATGTTTGATTGTAAGTGCTCCTTTACATCACTAGGCTAATTACCCTTCTAAACAGGTTGACAGGAAAAGTCAACGTGCAGGTAGCATCTGCACTAGTCTTCACATCTGCTATATCACAAAGGACAAGAGAATTTCCTATTAAATAGGCCCTTCCTATCAGCAGGATACTGGAGAGTTTGCTCACTCACACATTCTTCAAGTCTGACTGAAAACCACAATTACTTTTAGTTTAATACCAATTTGGACCAAGAAAGGACTTAAAAAGGTTTTGGAGGGCCTAAGTGATACTTGAAGTGAGTCATTTTCTTTATGGTCTTAAAAGTATACAAAATACTCTAGATTAAAATTTGTATTCCAGAAAATGTGGATTCCAATCTTCAGAGTTGCAGAGTTGCATGTCGGTACTTCTGTAAAGAACTAAAGTGTTCTGGCCATCATAACTGAAAGTAACAAGTGGAGAATAACTCATGATTATGGTGTTTGTGTTAAAGGGCACATTAAACTCCCAGGTAGTTCCTGAGAATATGGGAAGTGCCAAGACAAAGCTGGTCGGAATACTACTCTGAACCCAGGCCATCCTCAGCGGGATCATCAAAGAATAACTTTTGGAGTCCATTTGACCTTCTGAGCTAGACTGTTTTAGAATTACTTCTGCAAATCATGATTCAGTTCTCATTAAAAGATAAAAATGGACATTCCCAATAACACTGAAAATGTGTATATAGATCAAAGGATATCATACTCATTATTATACCAGCACACAGAACATCAAAGAATAGAGGAGAGTTTCAAGAACACCAGAAGAGGTAGACCCCACATGGGATTATGACCCTAGATTCTAACAAAGAGATTATGACATCTGACAGGCAGAGCCCTTGAAAAAAATAATGCTAATCTGAAAGGGCAAAGGTTGTGAAAGGTTTATGGCTGTTAAAAGGCTAAGAAAATATAAAAACACATTGAATGTATATGTTTATGCAATTTGAAAAAATATTTAATTGAGCACTTGATTTGAAACCCATCTGTTAAACACACAGCTGATCCTAAATTAGAAACCTTTGACCCTTTTCATTGACCCTTTCTTACAAGGTATTTTAATTTTACTACCTTTCCAAAGGCCCAAATTCTCTATAATGATAAACTTCTCCATCTTCTCCACAATCTATAATTAATATTAATTCATGACTTGGGACTCACATCTATTTTACCTGATACCTTTTTATTTCTCTGTACCCCTTTACCACCCTTCCCCCAAACCCAAAATCAGATTGTATTTAAGTAATTTAACTGATTCGCTGTGAAGCCAAGACTAGATTTAAAATCTGATAAATATTCCAATTCATGAGACACCTATAGCACATTATCTATATTTGTACACTTTATTTAAAAACAAATAATACACTTAGAGCCACCAAAAATGGATATTGTAATTAGCTTATCCATACCCTGAATTTACAAAAGAAACTTCTTGCACCACAAAAATTAGCATTTGGATTAATTTACATTAATTGATATTATAACTAAAATTTAAAATACCTGAAGATTGAACAATCGGGTTTCAAGGTTTCAGGGCTCATCAGTTGGGGGGGAGGGAATGGTAGTGGTTGGGTGCAAAGAGAAAGTGTTATTTTAGATTCCAAACTGACGATGCCCTGAGGTTAACTCTCATAAACTGAAGTTGAGAAGACATAAATTAACCAGTATATTTCAATATTACAAAGAAGTGGTTCCCCCTAAAAACAGGTATTAGATCATATAATTGCAATGGAGGTAGGGGATATTTCTTAATGTGGACTACAAAAAAAAAAAAAGAATAAGGGAGTTGCATTTGTTTTCTCAGAAGAGGCAAACTTCAGCCAAACAATGAGAAGAAAAAAGGGAAGGAGGTATGTGGCAGACTGAAAACTTTCTGATTGCTGATAATACCAAATTTAGCAGCTCTCTACAAGTCAATTAAAATGCCATTCTCTGAGACATTTTCAGAGAGGAGCTAACACACAACCGGGGGAAAAAATCGTTCTACATTAACAAGGCACTCACTGGTTCACAGCCTGTTAAAAACTCAGGCAGACATTAAAGTTAATCCAAATTAAAATGAACTTTCTAATTTGTATCAGAGGAATGACAAGCATGTGGTCTCAGTTAAAATAAAATCAAAAGCAAAGGATTCAGAAAAATCTGATCACTAAGCACCACTTCAGGAACACTGCTAGAACAAATGAGTGAATCTAGGGATCTCTAGCCTAACATTTGCTTTTTTAGATGAAAAGAAAAAAAAAAAAAAAAAAAAAAAAAAAAAAAAAAACCCATGGAAAGGATCTGTTAATCATGTGTTGCTTGTGCCGCTTAATGACAGGGAAATGATCTGAGAAATGCATATTTTGGTGATTTCATCATTGTATGAACATAAGAGAATATATTCATACAAACCTAGATGGTTTTAGCCTACTACACACCTAGGCTATATGGTATAATCTCATTGGACCACAATCTTATATGCACTCTGTAGCCAACCAAAACATACCGTTGTTTGTCAACCTGGCATCCTTCACCCTGACATGGAGATCCAGATGGTGATGGACATTGGCCAATTAAAAAGCTTCCGTGACAAAAGTGAAAATGATTCAAATTATTACCAATAAGTTGTCCTTTGTTTTTAAATACAAATATGTTAATTTTCTAGACCTTCCCCTAAAATGAATTTTAAGAATTGGTACATTTCACAAAAATACAAATCTGTCAACTCTGCTTTTATATAACCTGAATCCCAGTGTTAAACACTTATAGTACTGCAATTATATAAATAATTATAACAAGTAACACAGTAATGGAAGCAACTTCTGAGAAAAAAGAATGATTATATACTTAATAAGTCTTGAAACAGCTATCAAAAAATAAAGTAAGCTGAATAATACCATATTTGAAACTCTTTTTTCCATGTAAATTCAATAACAATTTGGCTCTTGGTTGAAAACATCAGAGACATACACCAACCAGAGATTAACATTCACTAACATTGATTGTTAATTTTAAGCAATTTTTTCAAAAGAAAACCAGAATTAATGCTAAGCTTTTCATTCTAATTTGTGACATCTTAATACAATATAACTTAAATGACAAAGCCTGAGAAAAGCACCAACATAGATTTTTAAATTGCATCCAACCATCATTTCAGATGTCATAAAGATTTGCTTTAATTAAGATGGCAGCAATGACAAAGAGGTAGATATGAGAGATGCCATTTAAATACTGTAAGACTATTCTTAGGTGGAATTTTAACTAGTTAGGTGTTAAATCTAAAAATAATTTTTGCTAGTTGAATCTCCATCACATAAGGATTTCATGACATGCTCTTACTTAAGGGAAAAATATATGAAGTACTAAAAAAAGTGAACCTTTAAAATACTACATTTACTTAGCCAGTATTACTGAGATCCCATAATTTTGATCAATCAATAATTTCTTCTTTTACCTCAACTTGACTATAATTAAAGGAAACTATTTTTCTGTACTGAGATTCACATTCAAAATTCTTGAAAAGTATACAATGGTGCTCCAAGAGCATAAAGACAGCGCATGAAATGTCCCCTGAAGTCCTAGAAGTTGAGCAGATACATTAAAAAGACATTGATGGTCACAAATCAGGACCTTCACAGGTTACCACACACACACACACACACACACACACACACACACACACACACACGAG